TAGGTACCTATTTATATGGTTCCGGGGTTGTTCATTAGGCACCAAACGGTAGAAAACTGACTGAAACGGGGAGGGACTACCCGAACATGTCCAATAGGAAACTCTAGTTTTAGTTGCGAAATTTTGTCCCTTGCGAAATGATTTGCTACGCTGTGTACTAATGAATCGGTGTGGGAATGAATGGGGGGAAATCAACTCTTTGTGAGGATTTTTATTTTTTTGTAGTTTCCTTTATTTCTTTTATCATTCCTTTTTAATTTTGTATTTTAATTTGGTGTTCATTTGTTGTTGTTGTTTATATATCCACCACCCCTCCCCCGGGCAGGTTCTGGGGGGTGGTGACCAACCAACCAACGTGTAGGGATTGTTTTCCCCCTGGTCAGGTCACGTGGTTTGTGACACCCCGGGTCCTAGTGACCAGACTGTACATCTCTTTTCAGTAGAGGGAGGGGGAGGAGAGGAGGTGGGAAGCCATTCTATTCCTATGGTAGGCACCCCCCCCCAACCGGCCCTCTCTGCATGGCAGGCTACAGGTAGAAGTTACCCCTTTTACCACAGTTCTAGGACCAGATTACCCTATCACCAATCCTAACTTTTAAACATGAGGGGTATAAAACAAGATCTGACCTTAGATCAGTGGTAAGGGACAAGGCAACTTCTGCTTGCATTGCAGCCTGTCAATCCTTGTATGTTTCATTGCAGTTCAAATCAGACCTGGGTTCAAATATTATTTGAAATCTTTCCCGCCTGGGAACCAGATGGACATGGTATGCCGTTTTGGGACAATTCTATTGGGTCCATTAAGCCTGGCGAGCTCAATCAAGCCCCAATAAAGTATTTGAAATTATTTAGAATAGTGTTTGATCCCAGGTCTGGCTCCAATCTGTGCTTTTCTCTGCAACCGCTGACTGACAGCAATCTTATAGACGTCTATTCCAGAGATACATTTACTACTATTACCGCTCTTTATAACGACCCCGACGCACCAGAGATACACAAACCACACACGGCATGGGTGCTCGCTGAAAGTGTCCCGTTAATGTGTGTTTACAACCACAGATACAGTTTACCTCGTATGCTATCAGCCATAGCCTCAGACCGTTCCTAACCTCATAAGTACCAGGGTCGTGTTCATTACACACAGAACGGACTGAAAACGGGGAGGGAAAACGTTTTGCTACGTTGTGCCCTAATGAATACGACCCAGGAGATTTTAAGGCTACAGTACAGTTAGTTCAGGTACAGACAGACCGGAACAATGATAATAGCTCAAGAGTCTCATATTGACATGGAATGAATAGAATACAGTCAAGGTATTGGCTGTGGAGAAGTGGGAGTCTTTGTGAAAGTTCTTACCTCAGTTACATAGAGAGAGATATTGGGAACTTAAGATCACTACAGCAACCGATAATGACTTTTCTAGCTCTCTTTTGATTTGGTTTCCTGTCTCTGGTGCCGTCGAGGTCTTTCCCAGTTGCAGATCTTGTTTTTTTTCACACTATAAATACAGTATATTAAACTGTACATTCTTACAATACATAGAAGCACTATTGAAGTTTGATTGTTAGTTGTGCACTTGCAGCATGAGGTATTATTATACTGAATTATTATGATAAATAATAACCCAGACGAAGAAATACAATATACAAAAGAAATACAAAAGCTTTTTTGGATATAAAATACATACAACCTATTGCAGTAGTGTTGTCAAAGATACTACTGATAATGTCCAAGATGATACTCCTCCTGACGACCCTATCCCATGCCGTGTTACCCCTTCTTCCTGATCCCTAACCCCGACCTTTGACCCCTACCCATGTACATGCCAGTGTTTTTTCCGTGTTCCAAGTGCCAATAACTTTGTGAAATCCTAACTGTGACCCAGTAATAAAGATCATTGCACATTAACTACTGTAAAAAATAAAATAAAAAGACAGAAATTATGAAAAACAATCTGAATATCTTAATAAAAGGTTTGTAACAAATACGGTTGGCTTGAGTGTGTGGTTTTTACTGTGTGTTTTAATCTAATGTTATGTAGCTGTGCTGTCCTCTACATGGTTTGGAAATATCAAGTTGAATAATTATGAGTCACAATTAAACATGTATACCACGTTTAAAACAAACATTTCTGGCTTGTCTTTCTATCCAGTGTATTTAATCTTATGTTATGTACTTGTACCAAAGCCACACATATCTCGGGTTGTACTCTTGTCTTTATAAGTTTGGAAACATCACGTTAGATTGTGTATCACTACTTTGATATGTATAGACCTACAAAGATGCTAACCAACTGTGTGTGTTCAACTGCTGTACTGGGTTTATGGTCTGGACATATCAAGTCAAACGGTGTCACTTAGGCATGTATGCTAAGTTTATAGCTAATTGTTTCTGGTATGCTTGATGCAAACATTTCTCACACGCTTTTTCCAGCGCTCCAGTTCTCCGGACAGCTCTCTTTATGGCATGGAAAGTATTCTGGAATATTGCACATTGGTGCTGAGGGTAGGTCATGATGATCATAGCTCATTCTTTCATTCCCGTGTAAGGTCTTCAACTGAAATACACCACCCAAAGACTATGCCCTTAAAGACTGGATTCAAACCTGAGTATCCAAGACTGTTAGCCCATTGTCCTAAAGCTTAGGCATTAGCTTGGTGTAGTTCTAATCAAATTGTATTTGTCATATGGGCCGAATACAGCAGGTGTAGACCTTACCGTGAAATGCTTACTTACAAGCCCTTAACCAACAATGCCATTTTAAGAAAATATAGCGCAAGTCTCAGGCAAGGGCTGGGATTCAATCAGATCAGCGGTAGATCCACGTAATAGCGCGCTTGATATTTAAAAGTAATTTCCAATTGAGCTGAAATTTGCAGCGTTCACCGTGAACGTGTTCTCTGTGACCTTTGTCTTCAAAATGCGCATAGCCGAAATGGGTCGATCGGATTGAATCCCGGCCAAGGTTACTCGTGTGGCTCACTGAACTACTTGTAAGTGGAAGAGAAGATACTTTTTAAAAGCATATATAATGATTTATTAAGAACAAGTGTTGATTTTCACCAAGAAACTACAATGAAGGCAAAACGTATTATAGCATTTAGGATAGGCTACATTCATGTACAAAAAGAACGGAGTGTCTACTTGACGTTTCAGGCAGTGCGGGATGATTATGCGTCAAAGCGTTTGAAGCTCAGTTGGTAGAGCATGGCGTTTGCAACGCCAGGGTTGTGGGTTCGATAAAATAATGTATGCGCTAACTGTAAGTCGCTCTGGATAAGAGCGTCTGCTAAATGACTAAAATGTAATGTAATGAAATGACTCTTATGTTCATTCATAGACAGGGTAACCGACAACACCAGCACATGTTTTTTTTGGTTAAGCGGCAAATAGAATTGATAGACTTTGGAAAACATTACATTTACATCATTTAGCAGACGCTCTTATCCAGAGCGACTTACAAATTGGTGCATTCAACTTATGATAGCCAGTGGGACAACCACTTTTATTTTTATAGGGGGGGTAGAAGGATTACCCCCCCCTCTCCGGCTAACATGGGATGTTACAAATGAGTAGCAACAGTAGAACTTGATATATCAAGAGATGAGTGAGGTCACGAATTCAATGAAACCAACCTTTCACTCATTTCTACTGCATCACTGGGCAACAAAAGGGGACAAAAACATAACGGTACATAAAGAGTACAGTTCAAAACTCCATTCTACAACATGGAAATGTTACCAGGTGTGCACTGCAAACAAACAAATGAGGAAGGCAGCCATTTTGTATGCTATTTACACAATCCATTTCCCACGAGGCATCAAGCAATAACATAAGTTATGAGTGATAAGTCATTTCCATAGCATGAGAAACACTGATCATTGGCACTGGTTAAATAAATAGTGCTTCATTGAAGTGGATAAATTCTAGCTAACCTTTCCCTGGCCCTGTTCAAACACTTCTAATGCAACCTTGTTTGTGCACAATCACTGAGCTGACGAAGTTGGATAGGTGAAATTTAGGCTACTTTCCACTGCGTCCTTTGACCAACCAGATCATGTTAGATCAGTGGGTGATTTCCTCAAGGAAGGAAACAAGGAAAGATGCATTAAGAAGGAATTAGAACAGGGCCTATTGTACCATTCAATGCACCCTGAGACAGTTCATAATACATCTAAATGGAAGATCATTGGAGAATGTGATATAGAAGGAAACCAGTACAGATAGTTTTCAGTAGAACAGAGCTACAACCTTTCAAACTGATAACAGCATGGAAAAATACTTGAGTGATTCAATCGGTACACGGTAAGTACACAACCAATCGCAAATGAACAGATTAAACCAACCATCCCACACAAACGGGTACCATTGGGACAAAGGTGGCAGTGCCAACCCAAAAGACACCAGGCAGGGACACCAACTCTCACATAGAGAGATGTGTCTTGTCTTGAGGAATAAATACAATGCAAAAATATAGGCAAAATAAGACTACATCCCACAATTTCAAGCATGTAAAGCATTCAATTTATATTTATTTACACAATATTATAAAATGCACCTCAGGGTCATATTCATAAAGCATCTCAGAGTAGGAGGCAAAACTGATCCTATATCAGCACTCCTCCAAAACTGTAAAAACGGGCCATCACATCACACAAGTCTGGTATCTAACATTATGAAATGTGGACATAACCATAAATGTCCACTAGGTGGCGAAAGAGCTTCAAATTAGCTCGCTGTGCTGCTAATGTCCTGCCCAGCAACCCAGAACTCCAACTGTTACTATGGTAAAGTTATCACAATAGGCTTGAACTTTCCCATATCCACAGATCTGTGATCAGATCTCTAGCCTCAAACCCTTACTTTATCCATAAGGGGAAACTACATAAAACGTGTCGAGGGGTAACTTCTACCTCCTATGATAAAGCTATTCCAATGGGCCAGACGATTTGGCTCAAGGTAGAAGTTTACCTAACAACTGATCTAGGTGATTTCACCAATCCTAAGTAGTCCACTATGTAGGGAATATGGTTCTATTTGGGATGAAGACCATAGATCATCTCATAGATGTATAAAAATAGATAAGGCAACATTGACATCACCCTTCCCTCTCAACCACCCCTCATTCCCATCCCAAACAGTCCAAGTCTGTACCATCATTCACACACATCAAATAGACACCTTCGCTTTGCCTGAATATATAATGTCACCGTCATCTCACTGCTGTTCACTCCTCTGATATGGGTGGTGAGAGAGAGAGGTGGGAAAGAGGAGGAGGAAAACGGGGGGAGAGAGAGCGATAGAGAGAAAGAAGAAAGTGATGAGTAACAGAAAGAAAATATAGATTCAGAGACTGAATCCCCTCTATGACAAAGGAACGACGAGGGTTGGATTGGATTCCCCTTTTCCTTCATGGATTCCTCCATCCATCCATTTCATCATCCCCGGGAAGGAGTGGGTGAGTGTGGAAGAGCTGTGTATAGAAGAGAGGTCCGTACTCAGAGAGTGAAGAAGAGGATGAGAACCACTATCATGATGACCACCAGCACTCCTATGGCACACCACTGTCTCCTACCTGACGGAGAGAACACACACACACGTCAATATCACAAGAGAGTTTATAGGCTAGAGATGCTAATATGTACTTGTCTGCCATAGCCTGAGGGCAACTGAATAATAACATCTGCATAGTAAGCAGTAATTTACTTATTATTATTATTATTATAAATTGTAGTGGTACGGGTAGTAGGGGTGATGTAATGATAGCAGTTTAATGGTGGTGGTGGTGGTGGTAGTAGTAGTAGTACTGATGTAATGGTGAGGATGACAGTTAGTTATAGTTTCATTTTCCATGTTTAGCCTTTTATATTTATTAGATTTCTACTATTTACTGTTACCATTTTATTGTTGTTATTTTCTTTATTTGTATTATTTACTACCATTTTATTATTATTAATTATAATAATTTTTTTACAATGTATATTGTATACATTGTTGCTTTGGCAATATTGACACAATGTCTTTCATGCCAATAAAGCAGCTTGAATTTGAATTTTGACTAAGAGAAAGAGAGTGAGAGAGAGAGAGAGACAGAAACAGAGAGAGAGAGAGAGAGAGAGAGAGAGAGAGAGAGAGAGAGAGAGAGAGAGAGAGAGAGAGAGAGAGAGAGAGAGAGGGAGACAGAAAGAGAGGGAGAGAGGAAGAGAGAAAGGAAGAGAGCAAGGAAGAGAGAAAGGTAAAGATTGAGGTAAAGAGGGAGGGTGACTAGGTGTTGTATCTGTCGTCTGTGTGTGAGAGAGAGAAAACTGACAGAGTGTACATGTGTGTGTATGGTGTGCGCCTGCATGAGTATGGTGTGTTAACTCACTGCTGGTCATGTGGGAGACTTTCTCCATCTTCTTGAGGACAGAGTCCATCCGAGAACCTGTCTGGTCCATCTCCTCTCCAAACTCTCCTAGCATACTGGAACATACAGGACAATATAGGTGTTAGGCACACACACACACACACACACACACATTTTAGTCATTTAGCAGACGCTCTTATCCAGAGTGACTTACAGGAGCAATTAGGGTTAAGTGCCTTGCTCAAGGGCACATCGATACATTTTTCACCTAGTCGGCTCAGGGATTTGAACCAGCAACCTTTTGGTTACTGACCCAACGCTCTTAACCACTAGGTTACCTGCTGCCCACACACACACTCACACTAAACTGTCTAAAACCCCCCTAGCATACTGGAACATACAGGATAATCACTCAAACAATGCACACACGTAAAGTACACACTCACTGAACCCTTCAAACACCACACACATCTCAGCATAGGACGTATACTGTGAGATTACATGACAACATTGGAATTCACATGCACACGTTCAGTACACAGAGGCTCCTTGAAGCCTTTAAAACGCACACACACACAATAGAGCAAGGCAGTTAACCCCCAACAACAACTGCTCCCCGGGCGTCGATGATGTGGATGTCGATTAAAGGCAGCCCCTCGCACCTCTCTGATTCAGAGGGGTTGGGTTAAATGCGGAAGACACACACAGGAGCATATGAGGAGGCCATAACCAGTGGAAGAGGAGGGAGGGAGGCGTGGTCTCTTAAGGACATGTCATCTCTGTCACTGTAGCAGCAGATGGATAGGTTACAACCTCTATTCCCTTCCCATCACTCCCCTTGGCCCTCACCACCAAATGTGTGTGTGTCTGTGTGTGTGTGTGTCTGTGTCAAAATCAAATCAAATCAAATGTATTGGTCACATACACATGGTTAGCAGATGTTATTGCGAGTGTAACGAAATGCTTGTGCTTCTAATTCCAACAGTGCAGTAATATCTAGCAAGTAATATCTAACAGTTCCACAACAAAAACCTAATACACACAAATCTAAGTAAAGGAATGGAATAAGAATATATAAATATATGGATGAGCAATGTCATTATCAGAGTGGCACAGGCTAAGATGCAACAGATAGTATAGAATACAGTATATACAGTTGAAGTCGGAAGTTTACATACACTTAGGTTGGAGTCATTAAAACTCGTTTTTCAACCACTCCACAAATTTCTTGTTAACAAACTGTAGATTTGGCAAGTCGGTTAGGACATCTACTTTGAGCATGACACAAGTAATTTTTCCGACAATTGTTTACAGACAGATTATTTCACTTATAATTCACTGTTTCACAATTCCAGTGGGTCAGAAGTTTACATACACTAAGTTGACTGTGCCATTAAACAGCTTGGAAGATTCCAGAAAATTATGTCATGGCTTTAGAAGCTTCTGATAGGCTAATTGACATCATTTGAGTCAATTGGAGGTGTACCTGTGGATGTATTTCAAGGACTACCTTCAAACTCAGTGCCTCTTTGCTTGACATCATGGGAAAATCTAAAGAAATCAGCCAAGACCTCAGAAAATAAATTGTAGACCTCCACAAGTCTGGTTCATCCTTGTGAGCAATTTCCAAACAATAAACAATAGTACACAAGTATAAACACCAAGGGACCACGCAGCCGTCATACCGCTCAGGAAGGTGACGCATTCTGTCTCCTAGAGATGAACGTACTTTGGTGCGAAAAGTGCAAATCAATCCCAGAACAACAGCAAAGGACCTTGTGAAGATGCTGGAGGAAACAGGTACAAAAGTATCTATATCCACAGTAAAACGAGTCCTATATCGACATAACCTGAAAGACTGCTCAGCAAGGAAGAAGCTACTGCTCCAAAACCGCCATAAAAAAGCCAGAGTACGGTTTGCAACTGCACACGGGGACAAAGATCGTACTTTTTGGAGAAATGTACTCTGGTCTGATGAAACAAAAATAGAACTGTTTGGCCATAATGACCATCGTTATGTTTGGAGGAAAAAGGGGTGGCTTGCAAGCCAAATAACACCATCCCATCCGTGAAGCACGGGGGTGGCAGCATCATGCTGTGGGGGTGCTTTGCTGCAGGAGGGACTGGTGCACTTCACAAAATAGATGGCATCATGAGGAAGGAAAATTATGTGGATATATTGAAGCAACATCTCAAGACATCAGTCAGGAAGTTAAAGCTTGGTCGCAAATGGGTCTTCCAAATGGACAATGACCCCATGCATACTTCCAAAGTTGTGCCAAAATGGCTTAAGGACAACAATGTCAAGGTATTGGAGTGGCCATCACAAAGCCCTGACCTCAATCCTAAAGAAAATATGTGGGCAGAACTGAAAAAGCGTGTGCGAGCAAGGAGGCCTACAAACCTGACTCAGTTACACCAGCTCTGTCAGGAGGAATGGGCCAAAATTCACCCAACTTACTGTGGGAAGCTTGTGGAAGGCTACCCGAAACATTTGACCCAAGTTAAACAATTTAAAGGCAATGCTACCAAATACTAATTGAGTGTATGTAAACTTCTGACCCACTGGGAATGTGATGAAAGAAATAAAAGCTGAAATAAATCATTCTCTCTACTATTGTTCTGACATTTCACATTCTTAAATTAAAGTGGTGATCCTAACTGACCTAAAACAGGGAATGTTTACTAGGATTAAATGTCAGGTGCTATGAAAAAGTATTTTCCCCCTTTCTAATTTTCTCTACTTTTGCATATTTGTGATACTGAATGTTATCAGATCTTCAACCAAAACCTAATATTAGATAAAGGGAACATAAGTGAACAAATAACACAACAATTACATATTTATTTCATAAACAAAGTTATGCAACACTCAATTCCCCTTTGTGAAAAAGTAATTTCCCCCTTACACTCAATAACTGGTTGTGCCACCTTTAGCTGCAATGACTCCAACCAAATGCTTCCTGTAGTTGTTGATCAGTCTCTCACGTCGCTGTGGAGGAATTTTGGCCCACTCTTCCATGCAGAACTGCTTTAACTCAGTGACGTGTGGGTTTTCAAGCATGAACTGCTCGTTTCAAGTCCTGCCACAACATCTCAATTGGGATTAGGTCTGGACTTTGACTAGGCCATTCCAAAACCTCCAATTTGTTGCTTTTTAGCCATTTTCATGTAGACTTGATTGTGTGTTTTGGATCATTGTCTTGCTGCATGACCCAGCTGCGCTTCAGCTTCAGCTCACAGACGGATGCTCTGACATTCTCCTGTAGAATTCTCTGATACAGAGCACCACCATGCTTGACCTTTGGTATGATGTTCTTACTGTGGAATGCAGTGTTTGGTTTTCGCCAGGCATAATGGGACCCATCTCGTCCAAAAAGTTGACTCAAGTTTGTCAAAAAGCACCTGGATGATCCACATCGGCCACTATGCTTGTTGTAAATGATATTGCAAATGCCTTAGATGATAGAAAGCACTGTGCTGCGTTGTTTGTAGATTTGTCAAAAGCTTTTGACACTGTAGACCATGCTATCCTTTTGAGTAAGCTGTCATCTATAGGACTGGGCACTGATGCCTGTCGATGGTTTTATGACTATTTTAAAGATAGAACTCAGGCCGTCATGGTCGACGGGGTCAAGTCTGACCCCTTACAGTTACTTAAAGGGGTCCCTCAGGGTTCAATAATTGGCTCACTATTGTTCTCACTTTATATAAACAACATTGGTGATGATGTCAGATATTGTAAATTCCATTTATATGCAGATGACACAGTGATGTACTCTATTGCTCCAACAGCGGACCAAGCTTTAATGCAGTTGGAGTCTGATTTTAGGATACTAGAGGGGTCTCTTTTACAGCTTAAACTTGTTTTAAACGCTAAGAAAACAGTCTGTTTTTTCCCTGTTAAAATAAAGATAAAAATTAAAATTAAAATTAAATAAAAAAGACTCTTGGAAGAACGTTCTATGGACAGATGATTCAAAAGTATAACTTTTTTGGACGACATGGCCAGTAATGCCTGGCGAAAACCAAACACTGCATTCAACAGTAAGAGCATCATACCAATGGTCAAGCATGGTGGTGGTGGTGTGATGGTTTGGGGATGCTTTGCTGCCTCAGGAACTGGACGACTTGCCTTAATAGAAGGAACCATGAATTCTGCTCTGTATCAGAGAATTCTACAGGAGAATGTCAGAGCATCCGTCTGTGAGCTGAAGCTGAAGCGCAGCTGGGTCATGCAGCAAGACAATGATCCAAAACACACAATCAAGTCTACATGAAAATGGCTAAAAAGCAACAAATTGGAGGTTTTGGAATGGCCTAGTCAAAGTCCAGACCTAATCCCAATTGAGATGTTGTGGCAGGACTTGAAACGAGCAGTTCATGCTTGAAAACCCACACGTCACTGAGTTAAAGCAGTTCTGCATGGAAGAGTGGGCCAAAATTCCTCCACAGCGACGTGAGAGACTGATCAACAACTACAGGAAGCATTTGGTTGGAGTCATTGCAGCTAAAGGTGGCACAACCAGTTATTGAGTGTAAGGGGGAAATTACTTTTTCACACAGGGGAATTGGGTGTTGCATAACTTTGTTTATGAAATAAATATGTAATTGTTGTGTTATTTGTTCACTTATGTTCCCTTTATCTAATATTAGGTTTTGGTTGAAGATCTGATAACATTCAGTATCACAAATATGCAAAAGTAGAGAAAATTAGAAAGGGGGCAAATACTTTTTCATAGCACTGTATTTGGCTAAGGTGTATGTAAACTTCCGACTTCAACTGTACATTTGAGATGGGTAATGCAAGATATGTAAACATTATTATAGTGGCATTATTAAAGTGACTAGTGTTCCATTTATTAAAGTGGCCAGTGATTTTCAAGTCTGTATGTAGGCAGCAGCGCCTGTATGTAATAACACTTTGAGATTTTTTTTGAGAAGTTCTGAGCTAACAATGTAAGAAATAATACATAAAAAAAACAAAACACTGCAAAGTTTCCTAAGGACTAGAAGCGAGGCAGCCCTCTCTGTCGGCGCCATTTTCAGTGTGTGTGGGTGGGTGTGTGTGTGTGTACTCACACAGCCTGCTGGTCTAGTTCATCTCCGATACGTCCTGACATGTCTTTCAGTACTCTGATGCTTCCTGTCACCAGCTCCAACTGCTCATCCTGGTCCTCCATTATCAACTGTGGAGAGAGAACACTCATCATCATCATCATCAGCCTAACCCTAGCCTCAACCCTAACCCCAACCGTAACTTCATGTCCACACCCCAGCTCAACCCTAACCCATCATCACATGAATCATCATCTTGGTCCTTCAATATCAACTAGACACACAGACAGAAACCTTCACGCTAACCCTCTTCCCTCCCTCATCTCTCTCTCCCTCCATCCTACCTGTTGTTGTTCCTGTTGATCCTGGATGTATCTGGAGTTAGCCGACACCAGGTGAGGCTCCAGACCATCAGACCTGTCCTGCTCCGACGCACCCAACAGAGCCTGAGAGAGAAAGAGAGAAACTGCTGTTAGAATGTGTGTGTGACAGAGTGAGTGTGTATCAAAATAAAGGTCAGAGAGAGAAGAGAGAGAAAGCGAGAGAGAGAGAGAGGTGTAGACAGGCAGACCAACCTGTCTGTTCTTCTTCTCTGCCTGGGCCACAACAGAGGGACTGGAGAGTTGCTCCTTCATCTCCTACACAGAACACACAGTGTTACCTATAGTAGTTACAAAAACAGATTACACACCGTAGATTTAATCCAATCAAATGTAGCTGCAGAAATCCCCTTCTCTTTTCAATTCTAGAGGTGATAGACAGGTAGTGATGTAACACCGTTTTACCTGTACGGCCTGCCGTGTCCGCTCCACAAAGTCTCTCCTCTCCTGCAGTTCATTCTCCACCAGACGGAACTTCCCCGGGTTGGACTCAACGATGCCTGGGAGTGGGTCAAGGCTCAACACACACATAGATCTCAGGGTTCTCCCCAGGAATTGTTAGGAATGTGGCGCTGCAGAGTACAGTCTGTGTTTTTTAACACCTGTAACTACACACTTAGGCACACACACTCACACCCCATTCACATCAGCTGTCCTGCTCCAGATATCATAGTCTAGGACTCAGTTGGTCTTTGGGCCAGTTTGGGTTTCTATACTCTCTCCCCCTCTATCTAGAAGGAAGGACAGACTATATCTCTCACACAGTCTTCTTTCGTTGCACATGTGGAAGTGTGTGTAATCTTTATGTTTATAAACCATAAGCCTATCTCTTCCCCTCTTTTTATGAGGAAGGACAGTTCCATTTCTCTACCCCACCTCCCTAACTTTCATTCCCTCCTCCTCTCTCATGGGCAACTCCGCTTTGACTCAGTTTTTTCACTTAAAAAATATGTATGCCAAAAAGTTTAACCAACCATACAACTCTATGCACAAGGACTACATTTAACATTTAACACAGAAACATTTACAAAAACTAATTTAATGGAAGAACTGTGCAGATGTCAACTTTGGTAACGGAATTACAGTAAAATCTCCCTCAGGTTTTTATGCGACCACGTTTTCCAAAAACTCTTAAATATCTGCTTCGAATTAAGAATCAAAGATGTCTGCAGAAAGAATAGGGATGAGCTATGACATGGCACCATGAGTTAAAAAATATATATTTTGGTTATTGAACTACAGTAAGTGAAGTGGATTTACACACGGTGACGGGATCTACGGTAACGGAATTACATCATGGACCCCCTATACTACACAGAAACTGCATAATTATGGATATGTCATTCTCCTCATGATTCACAAGTTTGGACATCACTGCGCAGCACAGCAAAGCAGAGTAGAGTTTAGTACAATGCAGTAAAGTACAATACAGTACAGTACAGTAGAGTTCAGTACAGTACAATATACTGTACTATATTCTACTTGTATTTTCTGTACTATTATATTGTATTGACTGTACTCTGTGCTTTACTCACTGTATTGTACTACTGTATTGTACTGTACTCTACTATACTGTACTATCCAAATTTGTGAAACATACTTCTATAATAGGTTCAGATTTGGTCCATCTGTGGACGTTGAAATCAAGGCCAGGCTGGACTGACCACTTAACAATTCAAAAACAAAATTGATATAAGTAAAAACATTATATCTAATTGGTAGGTCTAGCTTTACTTGTTACTTCTGTGAGCTTTCATTATCCTCCCTCCTCGTGAGGGAGAGAAATTTGAAAATATCTTAGAGATATTTGGGTTTTTGGTAACAGAATTACAAGGCACAAGGCAATATTCTTAAATGTACAGAAGGCAAAGAATTTGTCCAAAACTAAATATAAGTGTTGATATTAGTTGGCAGGGGTCTTTACATCAACATTATTGTGTTTTGATACCTTTTAAGACTTTATTTTATATATGCCTTCATTTCCCAAACTTCAGTCACCCAAGTCATAGACTTGCGGTACCGGAGCGCCACGTCTAGGTCCAAAAGGCTCCTTGACAGCTTCTACCCCCAAGCCATAAGACTGCTGAACAATTAATAAAATGGCCACCCGGACTATTTACATTGACCCCCCCTTTGTTTTTACACTGCTGCTACTCGCTGTTTATTATCTATGCATAGTCACTTTACCCCTACCTGTACAAATTACCTCGACTAACCTGTACCCCCGCACAGTGACTCGGTACTGGTACCCCCTGTATATAGCTTCATTATTGTTATTTTATTGTCATACTTTTAATTTGTATTTAATTTTTTACTTTTGTTTATTTTGTAAATATTTTCTTAACTCTATTTCTTTAACTGCATTGTTGGTTAAGGGCTTGTAAGTAAGCATTTCACGGTAAAGTCTACATCTGTTGTATTCGGCACGTGTGACAAATAAAATTGGATTTGATCCTATGAACTTCACATGTTGGTGCTCATGGGTCCTTTTCGATGGACATGCCCTCAACTATCATACTCTGTCATCTTTCATTCATTCCCTGGTTCTCTCTGTGTGTGTGGAAGTGTGTGTGTAATCGTTATTTTTATAAAGACATGAAAAGACACTGATGGTTTCACTCAGGTCCTCCAGGTCCCAGTCTATGGCTCTGAGACAGTTCCTCAGTTCATTGGTGCTCCAGTCCAGCTCATCTTTGCTCACCTGCACAACAAACAAAGAAACATTTCGGCATGTCAAACATGAGACCCAACACAGTGAAAAGTCAATGCTCACCTGTACATTACAGATAAAGTACAGTTACAGATAACTGTAAGAGTACATATCAGGCAAGGTAGGGACTGAACAGGCTACACTAGTAAGTCAGAGATTGATGATGACAAGCTGTTGTTATACATGCTGTGGCTGCACACATTCCAAGATGTTGTTATACATGCTGTGGCTGCACACATTCCAAGATGTTGTTATACATGCTGTGGCTGCACACATTCCAAGATGTTGTTATACATGCTATGGCTGCACACATTCCAAGCGGTTGTTATACATGCTGTGGCTGCACACATTCCAAGCGGTTGTTATACATGCTGTGGCTGCACACATTCCAAGATGTTGTTATACAGGCTGTGGCTGCACACATTCCAAGTGGTTGTTATACATGCTGTGGCTGCACACATTCAAAGATGTTGTTATACATGCTGTGGCTGCACACATTCCAAGCGGTTGTTATACATGCTGTGGCTGCACACATTCAAAGATGTTGTTATACATGCTGTGGCTGCACACATTCCAAGCTGTTGTTATACATGCTGTGGCTGCACACATTCAAAGATGTTGTTATACATGCTGTGGCTGCACACATTCAAAGATGTTGTTATACATGCTGTGGCTGCACACATTCCAAGCGGTTGTTATACATGCTGTGGCTGCACACATTCCAAGCGGTTGTTATACATGCTGTGGCTGCACACATTCCAAGCGGTTGTTATACATGCTGTGGCTGCACACATTCCAAGATGTTGTTATACATGCTGTGGCTGCACACATTCCAAGATGTTGTTATACATGCTGTGGCTGCACACATTCCAAGTGGTTGTTATACATGCTGTGGCTGCACACATTCCAGTAGCAATGCAGTTAAGAGGTGTGTGTCCAGTGTGTGTGTACCTGAGTGCCATCCTCCAGAAGCTCCTCCCAGCGTTCGTAAAGGCTCCTGGCACGAGACAACGCCTTCTGGACCTCCCTGAGACAACACACACACACACCGGTTAGATCAGGGCTCTCCAACCCTTTTCCTGGAGAGCTACCCTTCTGTACATTTTCACTCGAATCCCAGTTGTAACTAACCTGATTCATCTTATAAACTAGCTAATTATTAGAATCAGGTGCGCTAGATTAGGCTTGGAATTAAAATTTACAGGATGGTAGCTCTACAGGAACAGGGTTGGAGAGCCCTGGTTTAGATACACATACATACATACATACATACATACATACATACATACATACATACATACATACATACATACATACATACATACATACACACACACACACTAGATACACATCATAAAAATACACATTACACACACATCACACACTTTTAACAATAACTTGAATGCATTTCCCTGACACACACACACTTTAAACAAGTCCTGGTTAAAGAGACAGTGAAAAATGCTATAATGTTATATTTAACGATGTTAGCTACAACAATGTCGCATTGAGAGTGATACTAAAATGTATCTATTCACTGATCCCAAGTTTAGCTATGTGGTTGATGATACAAATGTCACGAGCTGGCGAAGCTGCATGCCCTCTACTCCAGACACAAAACAACTCTCTCACACACACACACACACACACACACACACACACACACACACACACACACACACACACACACACACACACACACACACGTGCCATCAAAGCTTCCAACACAGCATGTAGCTTCCATTTCTAGGTAACGCGTTACGAGATTGCACGGAGAAGTAACGCCCTAACTTGACCCAAACAAATCTGTGTGGACACTCCGCACACCCCTGTCAATTTCACAACACTCCGTCAACTGCCCCGTTGCAATAGACCCAAACTGGCAACCCAACTTTCAAGGAATCCTTCTTGACACGAAGACTAGATTTCAACGACACCCCAATGCGAAGTCGAGACCTTAATGCCAACATCAACCCGCACGTTGACTGCGAATCTAGCCTGAAGCATTAGCTAGCAAATTAGCTTGCCACGGACAGGGTGATAACTTCTAAACGCCGCGTTATCAAACGAAACTACCCCAACGGCATATACATCCAACTTGTCCTGTAAGTAAACGGTTGAAAAGTTGGTTGATAGTTTATTTAGAAACCCTTCCTTACCCCTTGACTACAAAGAACGGGTCTTCCAGCGACATGTTGGATACTTCAACTCCAGACCTGACGCATGCGCGCTGGGGCTCGAAGCACGACGCCAACACGACGCACGGAGCGCCTCTACGTATCTCTGCTATCATGTGGCCTGTCATTTAGTACGGTGTCAATGCTAGACAGTTAGGATTGTACAGATACGTTTTTGTTATGATACAACGGAGAGATGTAAACGCATATTATATATTTATTCAGAATAGAATAGTATGACTTCTTGGTTAAGTGTTCCTAAATCCAGGCATCCCCTGAATAAGGGATGCATGCCCTTTATACAGTTGCGTATATAAACCTGCTCCAAAAAGGGTAGTACAGTACTGTAGTATTTATAAATATTGAAGAACACAGCAAAATTAAATCAATAATCACAAGATCAGAGAAACATTATCTTGTCATTCATGCATGCCCTGCCCTATGGTAGTCAACCTCATCATATAGAATTAACAAATGCTTTATAAGGAAACACATTCTTTCAGGAATAGTGGTATCCTAACACTAACATACTTTTATTTCATTTTAATGCCCAGTGCAGTCAAAAACGTGATTTTCCTGTGTTTTATATATATTTCCACACTATGAGGTTGGAATAATACAGTGAAAATTGTGATAATGCCCTTTTAGAGTAAGAGCTGTTTGAAAAGACTGCCTGAAATTTCAGCCTGTTTTGGTTGGATGGAGTTTTGGCCTGCCTGGTGACATCACCAAATTAGTTAATAGACCAATAAGAAAGAGAGTTCCAAACCTCTCTGCCAATAACAGTTCTATATCGTGGAGCTCCGCCCCATATGGGAGCTCTGCTCCTATTGGTTTACCCACTGCCCTAAGGCAGCATCAGCCTGAGACAAAATTATGCACACACCTGCAGCCAATAGGAGTACAGGTGTCCCTATAAGAGGGGATGCCTCCCCTCAATCAGCCTCCCTTTATCTTCAGCGACTGGACTAGACTGAAGAAGCCAAGAAGAGACGAAGAGAAGACACAGGACGAGAACGCCGTCGAATTTCCAGTCATCGACGTCGTCCTAAAATGAGCACACCAGGAGATTTTCCACCCCCAAAAGCTCTTTTCAGAGCTCAATGCAGATGCTCCTCCATGGCGGCCGGCGACTCCCACGACTTATGTTTCGTGTGTCTAGGGTCCCAGCATGCCAAAGAGGGCGTCTGCAATCCCCCTAACTGCGCCTCCTGCGCCCTCCTTTCTAAAAAGGAGAGGAAGCAGCGTTGGGCGTTTTTTAGGGAGGATATCCCCCTAGAGGACGTGCTGTCGATACTAGCCTCTGCTTCAGATGCGTCATCAGACGGTGCAGACTCAGGGGATGATGGGGACTATGAGGAGGAGGCTGACATTCCAATGGAACAGTCAGACCCCGTCCCTCATACATTCAAGCCCCCCTTTTCTTTGGTTAGAGAGAGGGCTTGTAGTTCCTATGGTGATGACGACACGGGCTCTGAGAAGTCAGAAGCCCTGTCCTTCACCGCAGCGTCTCTGAGAACGGACTTTCCGGGTCTCATTGAGAGAGCTGCTAGATGGCTGGAAATACCGCTGCCCCCTATTCCCTCCGCACCGGAGGTTGACTTAATGGAGGGCGGCCCCTATTCCAGGCCAAGAAGAGCGGCAGAGCCTTTAGCTCCTGCCATGCCTTCATTGGCGAAATACGTTGAGGGCTCATGGGAGGCACCTTTAGCGGCGCGTTCGCCGGCTAAAACGTACCTCCCATTCACTAGAGTGGAGGGAAGGTTCCAGGGCCAAGCTAAGGGAATCCCCAGGTTAGAGAGCGCCATGGCGGCGTATCTCGTACCAGGTTCGAGTCCCTGGCCCTCTTCCAAGAAAGCCACATTGCCATCTCAGAAGGACCGTCTCACAGCACAGCTGTTAGAGAAGTCCTTCAATTTGGGAGCCCAAGCTGTAGCAGCAGCTAACAACATTGCCCTCTTGGCAGCCGCTCTGTCCCGTTTAACCACGGGTAAGACAGAGCTGGAGCCAGAGGAGGTGGAGGAGGCGTCTAGAATTTCTGGCGCCATCCTACACCTAACACAGGCATCGGCCGTCTGCTCGGGGAGGTCCATGGCCACCTCGGTGGTCGCGGAGCGACACCTCTGGTTGTCACTGACAACCATGAAGGAAGCAGACAGAACGTACCTGTTGAACGCCCCCCTCTCTGACGACGGGCTGTTTGGAGTCGCAGTCAAAGAGGCGACTGAGAGGTTTTCCAAACTGGACGAGGAAAAGAAGCAGCTGGCCAGACACCTGCCACTGGCAGGGAGGTTAGGCCCTGCACCGTCTCGTAAACCATCCACTTCCGCCCCCCAGAGTAGACAGGGATCTACAGCGAGGCGGCGTATCCGGCGTCAGTCGGCGGCCACAGGAGGCAGGAGAGCGGGCCCAGCCCCCCCAGCAGCCATGGTGGCCCCATTGCAGCCGGCGAGGGAGGTGGTGAGAGCGCCGACCTGGGCCCCTAAGGGAGGCCACAAGAGGAGGCGCACATGACGGAACGCGGGCGAGCGAATGGAGGACACGCCATCTTTGAACGTGACCACTGTTCCCCCCCACCCTTCGGTTGAAGGGATGGGTGATGATGTAAATGCTTTTGTTGATGTGTTTAATAAAGAGTTGGCTCCACCTGACTTTGTCAAAAAAGAGCCCCTTTTCCATAATACGTCCGAGAGCGTTCAAATCTCACCCTCTCTCCCTTACCACTCTAAGCGCCGTTCAGCCCACCAAGGGTGCGTTGCTGAACAGGCATTCAGAGTAGGTTCATATAACACTTCAGGTATAAGAAGTGCTTCACATAGCAGACGGCAGTCTCTGTCAGACTCTGACATGATGACGCAGTCGCTATTTGGGGATGGTGCACTATCACAGACTAAGGTCTCTGTTAGTACGACCCAGACCCATGCTGCGTTCAACAAGGGCCCGATTACCACGGTCACGAAGGTGCCCAGTGTATCGGCGCCCCCACCTTTTTCTGAACGCGCCAAGGCTCACCACACTGAGTGTAGTTCAGCCCACCAGAGGTGCAGAGCTGAACGCACACAGGAGGTGAAAGGAGGAATAATACCTAGACGCCGTCTTGGTTTATCTCAAAGAGACCTCACATTACAGACTCCAAGGAGTACTGTAGTGAGTGCCTCTCATAGCAGGCTGCAGTCCCAGTCAGGAGACATGATGACGCAGCCGCTATTTGGGGATGGCGCACTATCGCAGACTAAGGTCTCGGTTAGTGCGATTCAGACCCATGCTGCGTTCACGGAGGGCCCGATTACCACGGTCACGAAGGTGCCCAGTGTATCGGCGCCCCCACTTTCCTTTGAACGCGCTAATACTCACCACACTGAGCGTGACTCAACCCACCAGAGGTGCAGAGTTGAACACACACAGAAGGTGAAGGGTAAGACGGCATCAAGGCGCCGCCTTGTGTTACCTCATAGAGACCTCACATTACAGACTTCGAGGAGTATTGTAGTGAGTGGCTCTAATAGCTGTTTGCAGTCACCTACGAGGACACAATCGCTTGCTGGGGATGGTGCCCTGTCGCAGGCTGTGGCCTCGGTCACTGCAATTCAGACCCACGCTGCGTTCACGGAGGGCAGGAATACGACGGTTACAGATTTAACTGACGTTTCTGCCCCCCCTTTTGGTTCAGAACGCACTAATGTTTCCTCTCCCTTTCTTGGGAGGCCCGCCTTGGGCTGTTCCACCACCTCAGTGTTGGAGAACAGCGGCGGCAAGGGCCATAGAGGAATACAGGTCCTTCCTACTGAATGTACCACAGCTTCGCGCTCGGCCGCTTTCTCTGTATTGCTGGCAGTGGCAGCGAAGCTGCACCCTCTCATGCTGGTTACAACAGACGTTGCAGAAGGGTTATGCTCTCCAATTCCACCGGACCCCACCCCCATTCAGGGGAGTGGTGGAGACGGTGATGAAAACGCCCGAAAAAGTGGCCGCTCTGGTCTCAGAGATTACGGAACTTTTGGCGAAGGAGGCGGTCACAGTGGTTCCCCAGGAGCAAAGGAACAAGGGGCTATATTCGCCCTACTTCCTAGTGCCAAAAAAGACGGGGGGAATGAGGCCAATATTGGATTTACGCATTCTCAACGAGAGCGTAACCAAACGGCCCTTTCGAATGCTAACGACAAAACGTCTGCTGGAATGTGTCCAGAAAGGAGACTTTTGTACGAGCATAGACCTAAAGGACGCGTACTTTCATGTGCCGGTACAGCCGCGTCACAGGAAGTTTCTGCGATTCGCCTTTCAAGGGGTGGCGTACGAATACACGAGGATGCCATTTGGGTACGCCCTGGCACCTCGCACGTTTTCCAAGTGTGTGGAGGCGGCATTGGAACCGTTGCGTCGTCAGGGAATACGGCTACTAGCCTACCTAGACGACCTACTGGTTCTCGCCCCGTCAGCAGAGCTGGCGATCACTCACACAACACAGACAGTGATTCATCTCACACGTCTGGGGTTCGCTGTGAATTGGAAAAAGAGCACGCCCTGGCCCAGTCATCAGATTGTCTACCTGGGGATACAGCTAGACACTGAAATGATGAGGGCTCGAATTTCGGACCCCCGAAGGGTAGCCTTGTTGCTAGCCCTGAGGAAGTGTCGTCCGAATCACACGGTGACGGCGCTGTCGATCATGTCACTCTTGGGTCTCATGTCGTCAGCCCACTCTGTGGTACCGCTGGGACTCCTGCACATGCGCAGGATGCAGCGATGGTTCGCCCAACTGAGACTAGACCCGTTGCGTCAACGTCATCGGTTGGTGGTGGTTCCCCTCTCGCTCAGTGCAGATCTGAACTATTGGAGAAACCCGTGCGTTCTCACGCACGGAGTCCCGATAGGCAAAGTGTCCTCCTACATCCCAGTGTTCACAGATGCGTCTCTGACGGGATGGGGAGGGACATGTCAGACCCAAGCGATAGGAGGTGTGTGGCCTCCTTCGAGTCGCCACATCAACCTCCTGGAGTTGGAAACGGTTCGACTGGTTTTGACCCACTTTGCGTCTACCCTTCGGGGTCGCGATGTGCTGGTCTGGTCAGACAACCGGACCACAGTAGCCCACATAAATTGCCAGGGAGGAGTCAGGTCTCCTGCTCTC